CCACGTACGGAGGTTGAACAATCATAACTACACTGATAGCTGCAAGACTGAAGAATACACTGATGAAAAACAACACTAGCACTTTAGATCGTGGAGTGTCTTCATCAAATGCTATGTACACTGAAACATTCCAACTCTGAACAAGAGGTTTATCCATTTTTAAGAGTACTATGACAAAGGCTGATGGAAAGTTTATGCATTGTACATTTTATTCACTTTATTATTTTATTCATTTATTTTATGGTCTTTATTGTCATTGTGCAGTGTTAAGGTTTTGCAGTGAACTGTTGTTCCAAATATTACTTATATATACATCTATATATTTGGCATTGGTTGTGATTTTTACTATCAATGCTATCTTTACTGAGCATTTACTTTGCCTTTAGGATAATGCAAATATGCATTATTTTAAACTAAAAACAAGGGGACATGAGGGGAATAATTCAAGCAGATCACATCTTGTACTTTTCCTTCAATTCATATGAGAACATTTAAGCAGTGCTGGAGCTTAGCCAGTAATGTCTCATATTTCTTAAACCACACTTAAACCGAGCACAAATCCTAAGCAACTTGCCAGAACAAACTTAACAATGTGTTAATGTTCCAACAACGTGGTCCACTCGGTGAATGGTGCTGTTTGTCCTCGTTAAGAGCTGCACGGATCGTAAACAACGCGTCTACTCGCCCTGCATATAGTCAATGTTTACATTTTGAGACAAAGGCTGTCAGACCGTTTGTAGGTCAGACGAGCGGTGTAAACACTGAAACCACTACTTTGTCCGTTTGTGATCAAGAAGGACGTGCAATTTAATGGGGTTGAAGATGGATTTGCTGCATTTTTTGTAAAAAACAGGCGTCGTGTGATACCGGGATCTTTACAGCAGAAAGTTCACCAAGTTCAGACTTGCTAAATATGGGACACGAGCCAGCCAACTGTTGTGAACCTGGAACTCCCTTCCCCCACTGAAGCTAACTAGCTGGCTACACCACACAGCCGCTAGCTGTAATGTGGCTTTATCTACTAACATGTAAGAGAATTATTACAAAGACAAACCACATGATAACGGCATGATGTATGGTGCAGAGTTTCGTGTCTGATTTACAGTTGCGTTTTAAATGCACGGCCAACTTAGGGAGACAAGTGTGAAACAAGTCAGCCGGGTACCACAGTCAAACACAAAGGGAACTCAAGTTCGAGCTAGCCAAGAGTTAACAGCGCTAGCTCACAATTTGACAGCTGTAGAAATTGTCCCTTGCTCGTGATAGATTCAGGATCGGCTCTGTTTAATTCTTCACTTGTGTGCCAGAGTGCCTGACTGGGTGTCAAGTTCAAAGATGCTCGTAATTGTCCAATAACAGTGCATTTATACAGAACACCTTGAGGCCACGGCTACAGCAACTAGCCTAACCGAATAGCAACGGCGGTTTACTAGACCGGCAGAGAAAAGAAACCGGCTTACGGGCTCATCACAGCTCCGCTCCAGTCTCGAGGATGACCGGGTCCTTGAGGAAATAAAGGGGCTGATCTCCCTCCGCGAACTCTTCCTTGTGTTCACCATTTTCCTTATGTCTGCTCTCACTGAATCTTCCTGACCGGCTCTAAACACAGGCTCAGTGAACGCAGCATCGAGGCGCCATTTCTCTTTCTCTCTCTCTCTCGTTCGCTCTCTCGCTTTCTATGTCTCTCTCTCGCACTCTCTCTCTTTTTCTCTCCGTCCCTCTGTCATTAATATGTGAGCCTGCGAGGTGATCAGATGTGCTGACTGGACTAACTCCAAGCCCGATTTATGTATATATATATGGGTAGAGTAGTTCTTAGTGACACCTTCAAAGAACACTGTAAGTGTTGTGCTGGTTATGAAATTAGCTTAATTTGCATACACCGTACGTCTATGGCAACTGTTTTATCATCTAACTAACCGTCGGTGCTAATAATTGATGCTTGTTTTGTCAATTAAGATTGCATATAGTGGAAAAAGTTTTGTCAAGTTGTTTGTCTTTAAGTTGTTCTATGTGCTCTTTGGTTTACTTCCACCCAGAAAATATAACTAAATGTTTTCAGTATTGATATTACTTAAGGACTAAACTGTTGTGTAATGAGTGCCATGCAGGGAAAACAAGTTTTATCAACCAAAATAAATAGGTTAATGTTTAAATTAATCTAAAATGTACATGTCCAACATTCTTGTAAGGGAACGATAACAAAAATCCCAGGGACAGTATTAACATTCACCACTAGATGTAGCTAAGTCTCACTACACAGTATACAGTAGCAACAATAACATGAACATGACAAAGACATTATCCACATTATACGTATGTTGAGTCCTTTAACTTTTGAAATTATAACGTTTTCGAGTTTACTCAGTTGTGTGTAGGGCTGCATGACAAGTTTATAAAATCAACTTTTGGTGATATTGCTTCTGCATTGCAACTTTTTGCTGTAATGCATATAAAAACACTAAACATTTATTGTCCACTAAATATAAACATGGCAATATTAGTAAATAACTAATAACTAATTTGCAGGAGGAGACCCATTTACACATTCAACAACGATAGATATATACGGTCATTATCTGCTGAAGCAGCAGCGTGGTGTATGTACGACAGCAGGAGTACATTTACGGCAGTAATGCGTCACACATTGCTCAGCAGAAGCTGCTGCTGTTGCTAAACCAAAGTTACGGCCGCAGATGTTCAAGGGGGTTTAACCAACGACACACGAATTGGTAAATCGCTGTTTGACATTAACATCAATACGCGCATGTTAACCAGCTTATGTGATGTGATTGTGGTTTATATAAACGTGGTAAATCCACGTTGTAGTTGACAGTTATAACCTGTGTTATTGGCTCCATGCACGTCTGTGGTTATCTGACGCCCACTTACATAATAATCGGTCGACCCGCACGTTCATTTTAACAGTTAACAGTCACGTTATTAGCATTAAGATTTATTCTATCAAATTAAATTAATAAATATAAAAAGAGGATATTTAAATGTGCCTTGCACGGAGAACCCTACATTTATCACATTTTATGAATATTCTTCATAGCACGTTTGTTATGTATTTCATTTCCTAGATGAAAAACACGGGACGTCATGAAAGAGACTGACACAGTGGTTGATGAGAAAGATGAAAATTGGTATGTCCAACAAAATATGTGCATGTAGTTTCATATGCATTCTTATGGCATGTTAACAAGATACATAAAGAAATCAAATTAACAAATGAAATACTTTTTTTCACCTTGGTTTCGAGTCTAAGACAGAGTATCTCTTCTGAAGCAGCCATCCATATCCAGGCATTAATAAACAGTCCCTGTCCCTTTATGTTTGTTTCTTATGTTATTATAAATTCATAACATCCATGTCCCCATTTTAAGGGTTGCCCGTGAGGAAAATGAAGATGAACCTCCAATGAGTCGAAGTTTTTCAGTAGAAGACCTCCTTGAGGAGGTGGAGAAGATCTGTTATGATGCCTCAGCAACGTCAAAGGTCAAATGCATATTCCCTTTAAATTCATGCAGTAACATCAGAGAGGTGTCTTATTTGCCCGTTAATGTTAATTACCCTAAAAATAAAGTCAATGTAATTTGTAGTTATTCTTAACACAAAGTTAACAGGTGTGTCTGGAAAACCTGTACCATGTGCAATGTACAAATTGTTCTGACCTGCTTTAGGCATCATCAGTGCTCTTTTTATGTCACATTTTCCAGGTGGAAATGGTGGTGAGGCTGTGGAAAGATGGTTTTACTGTAAATGATGGGGAGTTCCGCAGCTACACTATCCCAGAGAACCAAGAATTCCTTGATGCGATCAAGAGAGGGTTAGTTTTATGCAGTGTGAAAATATGCTTTGTTTCTGTATATTGTTCCACTTATTTAAGCTCAAGTTTCATATTGATTGATCTGATTTAACCTTTTTTTTAATGACTTAGAGAGCTTCCATCTGAATGGGAAAGCCGAGCTGAAGAAGAAGAACTGGAGATCAATGTGGAGGATCTGACAGAGGAAAATTATGTTCCTAAGAAAAAGGCTTTTCATCCTTTCAGTGGCCGAGGATACAGACTTGGCAGGTGAGAAGAAATTATCTTGTCAATAAAATAAAAGATGGTATGATGAGATTGTTTTATAATAATAATCGTGATGTTGCCGTACTTACTGCTTTGTACCGCTAGATGTCCTCCTTAACCCAGGTTGCAATAAAAATAATCTGAAAACAGCAGCGCCCTGATAAACTGAATGGCTTTATCTCTCAGTGCATCACTGTGAAGAATTGTAATTCATCTGTGTGCAGGAAAACTTTGACTTTTATTTTTTGGCCAGACAAAGTTGGCTATCAATATAAGAGCAACAATTCACTGCACATGTACAGTACAGTACAATATCCTTCACTGTGCTTTTAGCTGCTCCTTATCTGATAAATGATCCTGTTCCTGTTGTCTGTCACCAGTGTTGCCCCCAGAGTAGTGGCCAGGTCACCGTCTGTGCATGAAGATGGAGAATCTCTTCCCATCCCCATGGTAACACTAGACCACACCCTTCCTGTCACGTCCCTGCAAATCTGGTTGGCTGACGGCAGGAGATTGGTTCAGAGGTTTAACCTATCACATCGGTGAGTCTGCGTATGTCAAGTCCAGAACCACACCACCAAATTTTTTATTTTTATTAAAATATATAAATAAACACAGCTCTTAAGTAGATAAGAAGTGTTAGAATAAACTCAACTCAAATGAATGGCTGAATTAAAATGTGATGAGTTTTAATAAAAAGAATACGTAATGCAGGGTCTGAAAGCGCAGCATGTTATATCCCCTGTCACTCTGCACACTGCAGAAAACATAATCTGAGATGTTGCAACAGAGTGGATCTATAAAATCCCCGGAGATAAAGAGATTGTGTAACTCCGTTGCAGAATTTATATAACAGGGTTAGCAGCTAAAGAATGAACCTCTCCGATCTTTAGATAGCCTCACTGTGAGGGGCCACCACATGATGGCTTGTGTGTACTGGGTTGTCGTAAATAATAAATGATGATACTACTGGAGTGCTCTACAGAGTATTTTAGATAGAATGCATTACTACTATCAATGTAAAAGCAATGCTTAGAAGGTAAACTATGTCCAATGAATTTTTTTTAAATTTGTATTTAGAATAACAGATGTTCAAGATTTTGTAACACGCTGCCAGAGAAGCTGTCCGCCGTTCGTCTTGATGACGTCACTTCCTTCCCGGGAGCTGGACAACAAAGAATTGAGCTTGGAGGAGGCTGACTTGGCCAATGCTGTCATTGTCCAGAGACCACTAAACACAGAGGCTCTGTTTGGACACTCCTGACCAAATTGTCCTTTTAACATAATATTCCACACATCTTAACTACCCCCAGATAGCCACCCTGTGGCCCAGACCATTGATTTATCTTGCACTTTATGCTGCCTGTGAAGACTGCGCTGGAATATTTAATGGTGATTATTGTCTGCAGTATAGAGTTTCATCTGAGGTGCTACTCTTTATTCAAATATGTTTTTGTTCTTTTTTTTTTCTTGTAAAGTGTTTTCCAACAGAACCACTCCAAATGCAACAAAAAAAATCAATGCAATGCTCTGTGACCCTGCACCTGGTCAACTATATACTGTTTATATGGTACTGTATATATATTTCCATGAGTTGGTCTACTACATGGATCGATGCCCTCTACCGTCACACACTACCAGCACATTCAGGCAACTCTAAAGTCTTCCCAAACTGTGATTGTCACTCTCTGCACTAATCACAATAAAAACAAGCACCTGGTATTGTGATGAAAGTTTTACGATACTTTAATGACAAGGCAGCCTGTTGTTTATGTTGGCCTTCAGTTTTTATGTTCACTCTGAATTGTTTTTTTTGGAGATTACGTTTGGAATGTTCAATGCATTGTTCTGTTTGAATGCACTTATTTAAGAAAGCATTTATTGGAAAACAATTAAAAAAATCCTCATTGAAGTTTTGTGCAAGGTGTTGGATGTTAATGTAAAACAATGTGAAGTTCTTTCTTTTTTTTTGCCCATTTTGTTATTAATTACATTTTTTTGTAAATACCCTAAAATGTTAATTTACTTTTTCTTAACTTTGGACCTTTCTAGAAGATCTATCTGAGGCCATGTTCTTGTCATCTGTAAGAGCATAATGAGTGTGTTCTCGCTCGTCCAGGCTTCCTGCACGACCCTGGTAAGTAGCCGAACACCATTATCCATCTTCAATATTTAAAGTGGCTGGAAGGAGGGTGGTGTGTGAGTGTGAGTGTGTAGACCAGGTGAGGGTGTGTATTTGAAATGACTTGCCTCAGGATAGTCAAGGTCAGAGGGATGAAATATGGCAGCAGAGAAAAAAAAACAAGCCCTCTGAAGAATTACCTTTGCATGAGGCCGTACTTGACATAATACCTGGACGTACAGGATGTGGACATTACTTGGTGGACAGCCAGAGGGCTCTGGTTAAAGAGAAGAAGACAGCACATTTCCTCTGTGCTACATATTTAATAAGGCTAAGTATGTAGGGAATTACTCTCCCTTTCACAATGACCCTTCATCCCGTGCAGCAGTCGTGCGTTCATTTTGCACATTCCTCTTCACGCTTTATCAGAAACGTACACATTTTAATGCAAGTCATATGCCCGACATTTTTGTTTTGGTTCTTTTAGCTTTGACATGCGTGCTTCACATTTCAGCAGATGTCTGGATTCAGCTGCCACTCTCTTCCTGACATGTTTTGTTGTCATGCTCTGAAGAAGGGCTACACCTGGAAGTACTATGCAGTAAATGTTAGATGGCAGCTCAGTGAAATGAATCCTCAAACATGCACGGAGTATTTTGTTGTACAGGTTGGGTTTTCCACTGCACAGACATAGCCACAGGGTTGGTTGGTGTACTGTGCAGCTCCTGTGAGGTAACCTGACTTGCTGCATCCACGACATTCTATCCCTGTACGCTGTAAGTACTCTCACACATTTTACTTATATTGTCTAATTCAGCAGGGTGTAAAATATCACGGTGTGGTAAGGTGACACAAACAAACAATCGACTTCTGCTGCTATCACCTCATGTCACCTTACAAATTATTAGCAGCCCTTAGACAAATACATTCTGTCTGAAAGTATTTCCTTTGTGTTTTTTATAGAGAGCAATTTGTATTTTGACCACATCTTAAAGCTAACCTGTTGCAAAACCGATGGTTCTCACGATGGGATCTGCATACCACTGGTGCTGCTTTGAGTTCCTCTATGCAGGGGAATTTCTGTTTTGTCATTTGTCTATTTGATACATATATTTAATTCTATCCTATTAGGTATACATGATCTTTCTTATGAACTGTACTTAACTGAACAGTACTGCAAACCAGAGTAAAAGTATGCTAAGGACACCCTGGAGAAAATGAAAATGAAAGCTTTACTTAAACCATGTCATTTTGTCAAATAGGACAAAACCAGAACTCGAGTTACAGAAAAAGTAATTTCTACTGGGAGAATGAGGGGACTGGACCACAGCTGGGAATCCTGAAGGTAGAATGGTATAAAAAGATTCAAAAAGAAATATGAAGAAATGAGCAACACCTCATTTATATAGGTGTGTGAATAAAGCCATTTATTCACATCCCATATAAAATCTGTAAAGTAATCGAAAGGTCTATGTTTATATCCATTATAAGACATTGATCAAAGTAGAATGGGCTGAGATATCCGAGGAGAGTAAGTCAACATACAGGAGTTTAAAAGTCTGACTTGGAAATGCCCTGTCACTTTATGTAATCTTTGTTTTCATTGTTTCAAACTACTGATTTATCTTTTTTAAATCTATTTATTGTTTTAAGTACTTTCTTTCTCGTCTGTACTTGAACACTCAGATTGTACTTAAAATGGGTCGCTTTGATTTTACTCACAGGCGCACGCACGCACGCACGCGTGCACACACGAACGCGTGCAATCCTTGTGTGTCATTTTGGTTCCCTCTGGTGCCGCCGCTGCAGGGCGCAGCTCCGTTACTGCAGACAGAAACAGGAGAACAGAGAGGAGCATCATCTCATCATCTCTCCCCATGTTCTGCAGTCTCTCTCTCTCTCTCTCTCTCTCTCTCTCCTTGTCTGACTGACTGGATCCACATCACATCATCTCAGATCACACAGGGAGACTGACTTATAGACTGACTGCCAGCAGGACAGTTGCTTTTCTCCAACACGGGGTAAGATGATATTTGGTATTTTCACTCATTTATACTGTATTTGCATCCTAATTCTCTCGGTGCATGCATGAGGACATGCTGTACAGGAGCAGCAGCAGTACCAGAGCGGTGTAGACCAGCAGCGGCACACACTCCAGTACGGGACATCTCACGCGCCGCTGTTTGTTATTTCACTGCTATAAATAAGCAGCTGTGCAGGCGCGTCGCACACTGCAGATGAAGGTAACCTGGATGACTTTTAGTAGCCTCTGTGTACGCGCGCGTGCGTCTTCAACACTATTGCGCATTTGTTGCGGTTGTTTTTGTTTACATCTGCAGTTTGTCACCGATGACATCAACGGAGGTTTAGATTTGATTTCCAAGCTATGAATTATTTATTTATTTACCACACATTTAAGACTAAGTTACCTACTCCAGGGGGCTAGGTTAGCTTTTTTGGTTTGACCTTTTTTTAATGCCAGGTTTATGTAGTCACAGCAGCTTCTTACATTTTAAACTTATTCTAAACTTAAAAAGCACCATTGGGGCTTTTTGTGCCTGGGGCTTAATGCAACCGCAAACCAGGCTGATGACTCCAGAATGTGGCTCTGAACATTATGGAGTTCAGGATAAGGTCACATGATGTGCTATTCCACAACAAGGAAAGTGCTTAAATAAAAGAAAATGAAAAACAAAAAAACAAGCATTCCAACGTCTCAGATGTGCGTATTTGGTGGGCCTACCCTGACCACCGTGTGGTGTTTGAGGCCCTACAACTATTTTGCAGTACTCACATAAACTGTTAGTGGAATTACCTTTGGTATATGCAATATTTGCCACAAAACAATATGATGTTTCATGTATCCTTTATGGGGAGATGTTCGAGAACCACTGACTTACAATATACAAATAAATACAATGTTAGGTGTAATTTAATTACAAAATAGTTTTGTACTTTTGTTAAGCTGATAGACATAAATATGTTTCTAGAATTGCTGTAGAGCATTTTGACTTCCTGTTATTGGTCATTTATGTAGCAGTAAAACTACATCATCTTAAAATAGTGACATTCTAGTCAAATGGGTTTTTTCCTCTGCATCTACAAAAATGGCAACCTGATTTTAGCTGTAATCCAAATGAGATAGAGTAAATGGTGGACGTGAGTACATTCATGCATTTTAATGTGAGTTCAGTGGTTAGCAGTTCAATTATCTTTCGTTAAAGGTGAGGTTAGGAGATTTTTAGCTGAGATGCTTATTGTTTGGCTACGGGCTAGGGAATGCATTATGTCTTTGAAAGCCCCTGCAGCCATACAGAGACAATTGTGTGTAATGTTTTGTGTGTGTTTGTTTGACTTTGCTCTCTCCCTCGTGACCTTATTCCAGAGCACAACAGCATGTGAATGGCAGCAGAAAGCGGCAGAGTTTTTACAGAGGAGCAGGAGGAGCTCCCAGCCTGCGGACCTGTCACACACACCCCGCACACTCACACCCGGAGTCAGAGCCACATCCAGTTTCAGCCCATGAGCTACACCTCTCAGTGGCAGCCAGTTGCTCACACAAGGAGTCACAGCCACACTCACTTCAACGCCGTCTCCCACACGCAGCCTCAGAAGTACGGCTGTCGCCTCACACACAGTCTCTCGGCCATGACCAAGGGTGAAAGGGGTGTTCAGGTGTCGGTGGGGAAGAGCAACAAACCCACTGATCCACTGTTCTCCAAACCTCCTCAGCAGGTAAGCTCACCTGGTGAAGCCCCTGCATTTGTACCGTACCGTGGGTCGTTATCGTTTGTACGGTGTGTAATAGCATTGTCTTCTCACGTAGCTGTAAGACAATCTGATGTGTTGTGTTTCCAGCCTGTGGCTGTGAGTGACTGAATAGAGAAAGGTGAAAAAGATAGAAAGTTTGATGGCTTTAGCAGCTTATCTGAGTTTGATTCATCAGATGAATTGTTTTGTGGGGAGCGGTAATCTGTCAGATTGTGTGTGTGGAAGTTGATTGTTTTCCCGTCACCTCAATGATGGGATGACCTGTATGATGATTACTTTTTCTTGACTGACCCATCTGTCAGATCGCTAAAACATAGGGACGACTAGACTGTTGTAATCACCACTGACAGGAAACAAAACAGTCTAAAGGAATAGTGTACTGAGATTTTGCAAACAGTGATAGGCTGAGTTGATTAAACCCTGATATCTCTACCATTTCAATGCTGGCTCTTTCAGCATGTGACACATGGAGCTTTTAGAGCAAATGACAGACAGGGAAACCAAACCTTCAACTGCAGCTTTGAGGATGGTTGATACCACCAGTGACAGCGGTGCGTCAGTGCAATTCCAAAGCAGTTAGTCATTCATTTTTCTCTTTTGCTATAATGACTCAGGGTGCTTTTTAGACAACACGGATCCACATGATCCAACCAGTTCTACCAGTGTGTCTTGTCCCTGCCAAACATCATAATATAAATAAAATAAAGAATCAGATTGAACATTTTAAATGAACACATATAGTTCATTAATGGTATTTTTTTAACTACCTGGAACCTGGAATGGTTTAGTAAAACAGAAAAAAAAATCATTTTTTCTTTTGCTCATCTTTATTTGAGAAATAAAAAGGGAATAATCTTGATAACATTGTTATCTTAAATGTGCTTTGTTAATAATGCAAATACGTTTCTTTATATTATATTAGTGCATTTGTTTGAGTTAAATGAAAACTGAAAAAAAAAACAGTTTTGAATTCAAAATTTCACGGTTGGATGATAGGTGTAGTTTTGTGAGTTGTTTTCAATCTGTTGACACTTCCTCGTATCGACACGCAGAACAGGATGAACGTGAAAGGATAATGTCTTACATAAAGGGATGTCTAAGAGGGACACACTGGATGAGACAGACAGTCTGATAGATCTGTTCAGTAATGCTCTCACGGCTGATTCCACGTGAAGAGTCTCTCAGTCCATCACCAAATACTTCCAATGTGTGTCACTCTGACAAAATGTGAGTTCTGAGGGGATTAAAGAAACGCCTGGGCTCCATATTAGTTTTTAATGAATTCCTTTGGAACTGTTCCTATGTTGACAATAAGGCAGAGTAGTACTATTGACCTTGTACTACTGCACAAGGTCAGTACTATTACTGACCTTGTCCACCTTTAATCTGTGACATATGGCATTAAAATTATTTCACACATTAACACATACAAGCTTGTGCTGAATTATATATATGTATATATATAAATACACACGCAAATATTCTGTTTATATATGCCTTCAGCCTTGTACTGTACGTATTATTATATTTATATAATAGAATATATTTCAGCTGGTGTCTTAGGCTTGGAGACCCTTCCTCCGTTCACTGTAGTAGAATCGTCTTCATTCATAATCTGAATTGCTCAGGGTGCTGTTGAAATCGTTGTTGTTGTTTCCCCCTGATCACTCTCAGTGTTATGCCCCTCTTTCACCTATAGGTGGTGTAGCTTCTAAATGGTTGTGTTTTTTGTTGGTTATTTCTATTTGCATTCTTTTGTAATAAAAACCCTGAGACTCGAGCCTGTTTGACTGCTGGTCCTTCTGTGTTGCCTCTGGCATGGCTGGCTGTAACAATCAGTCCTCAGATTAGTCTTATCTGTCTTTGCCCTCTTTGCTTGTTGTCCGTACGAACTCTGGAGACGAGCCCTTGACTGTTAAGCTCTACTTTTGTAACCATGAGGTTGCCTGTGCATCCAGACAGCTGTAGATGGGATATCCTGTTTATCCTTTTTGAAGATAAGAACTCAGTAATGTAATGAAAGCTTGTGAGCAGAAGTTTGGAGGGAAAGAATAAGGGTTTAGATTTGAACAGGGAGAGAGCGCGATGCTGGAGGTTTTTGCACATCAGTTAAGCAGCATTCTCCAGACGCCGCGGACTTTGATTTTTCTCTCTCTCTCCAATTAGGAATAATTGCAGTGAGAGTGGAAGAAAAGAGAGTTTTGAAGTTGGAACCGCTGCACAGCCTTTACTTACCTCTGACCCGCTTGTCTTGCGATTGAATAATTACACACCTCCCTCCTGGTAATTGTCGTTCCCGAACCCCTCAATGTTTTGATGGAGCAGAAAAAGGAGGAAGAGAAAACGTGAGGTGGATAATAACAGTGTGCCGGTCGTGGCTGTGGTTACTTTGGTGATTTCCTTCTTTCATAAAGCTCTGATGCGAGCAGCTGTGGGCCAAGCGTGGGCCGATGGATGCAGAGTAACACTGTCTGTGTGTTTGTTCCCGGTGTAGCTAAACTAGTGGGGACAGTGGTTTGGGGAAATACTGCTGTTCTGGGAAGACACTTTGTCCTCGCAGAGACGGTTTGCAGGTCTTTACTGACTGAGTGTTTTGAGGTTTCGTTTTGAATTTGGGTTAGGTAGTATTTGTGATAAGGTCACAGAAAGGGGCTAGGAAATGTTATGTCTATTTGAAGTACTCGGTGTGTGTGTGTGTGTGTGTGTGTGTGTGTGTGTGTGACACCAAAGGTTGCACACAGAAGTAATAGGCGAGGGTTGATGTGTGCACTCAGAGTTGGAGACGGTCGTAAACGTTGTGCTCCCCAGACTGTGGTGTCTTGTCTTATTCATGTGTGAAGATGAAAGCTGTTGCACAGAGACACACACGCGGGCGCGCACACACACACACACAGAGTCACGTATATGATGGTTTTAGCAGAGCTGAGGGGAGACAGAGATGTGAATGACTTGGTGGGTTTCTCTTTGGCTCCTGTGTGTGCCTCACTGTCTGCACAGATAGACCACAATGCAAACAGCCAGGGGTCTCCCTCAGATCCTCTCATTCATAGACACACACACACACAGACACACACACATGCAGATACTCACTGTAATAATAAGCAAATATATCACTGGAAAAAATTGATAAATATTTTGAAAATACTGAATAATTTATTCTAACCGGCTGAACCAGAAACAATGTTTTTGGTGAAGCAGTTCATTTGTTTTTGTAGAAAGTGCATTTAAAATAAAAAGTACAATTTTCTATTTTCTCCACAGACGGACTTGAGCCAGAAGTTGACGTTATGTAGCAAGTTGTGTTTCGCCATCGGCGGCGCTCCTAAGGAGGTGGCTGCCAGTGCCACTGCCTTCTTCCTGCAAATCTACCTGCTAGATGTCGCTCAGGTATTATGCTCTGGGACAAGAACATCAGAGAAGGTGTAGAAGAATTCCTAGCTTCAGTCTAACCATGTTCTCCTCTGCAGATTACTGCTGTCCAGGCCTCCATGTTGCTGTTCATTGGCAAAGCGTGGGGCGCATTCACCGACCCTGTAGTTGGTTTCTTCATCACCAAGAGCACATGGACCAAGATTGGCAGACTAATGCCTTGGTAAGCTCACTGCGACTGTAAGTTAATGTGTCCAGTTTACGAGAGACGTGAATAAACAACACCCCAAAAAAACCCTAATAAATTCCCTTTTTATAGTTTATTTTTTAAAGTGATTGTATACCCGGAACTTGTCTTAGTGAGAACCTGAGCATTGTTTTGCATAAACAGCCGCTGTGCTTTAATGACTCACTTCTCAAATCTCCCATAACTGGAGTCGCACATACAGCATATTTTAGGGGGTGTGGGCCATCTTTCGGGCCTTTGATGTCGGATAACCACTCAGCAGAAGAGGAAGTACTTCAGCATAGTTTCTTAATGCAGCGTTGCCAGATGACATTTCATCATGTCACTCGATGTCCTCGACTGTTTTGGGCTTCATCCAGTTTTCTACTACTGTGACTGAACAAAGGATTCCAGTATATGTTGGGCTTTGATAGCAATGTACTGTACTGGGTCGTAACTATGAAACCATCGTCACTGCAGTTCCATTAATCAAGTTTCAGAGATGATTGTCGACATGCGTGCGTGTCTCAGCGGTGGACGTATTATCAACACAGTACCGTGACATCTGAAGTAATTACGCAGCTTAATGCCTTCTGTATTATAAACCATGAATTGCACATAAGCTGACAGCACTGTGTGGGGAGGCTGAAGTGTCAGGGTGGTCGTGCTATGGAATTTTTTTAAATGCCTGTTAGGAAGTGTTCATGATGGGAGTGAAGTAACTCTATTTTTCCCCCTCTGAAATCCCCCTCTGCCCATCCAACAGGAAGTGTTACATCTACAGACAGATGAAGTGATTTCTATCTCTGGCTTCAGTTCTTTAGAAAGCACCTGATGTTGTTGTTTGTTATACTTACTATTGCTATGGAATGATCATTTAGAGACATTTCTGCTGTTGCGTTTTCAAGAAATTTGAGATTCCTTTTATTAAAATCACACATTTGTCAGCTTTAATGACACAGACAATTGATTATATATATATATATATATATATATATATTATTTATTACCTGCGATGAGAAAGCTCTTCTGGGTTTATTTCATTCATTTTTGACAGCTTAATCATGTTTTGGGAACACTAGCCACCCTACCAACGTGACTGACACTCTTTAAAGTTCAGGCATCAGGTATGCCATGCATCCATGAATAAAACTGTATTCATCATGATCATATTATTTGTGTGAGAATCCCAAACCTGGTGACATTTCTAAATGTCAGCATAGACATTTTCAGGCAGGTGTGAGTGTGCATGCATGCGTACCTGATGGACAGAACATTCAAGTATTTTTTTTTTTACGTGCCAGAGAGTCTTTTGCCTTCAACTAAACACAGATCTTGCAGGAACATTCTAATTGTCCCATTCACCCGAACCCTGAGGCCTTTCATTGTTTCAATGACCGAGCCGTCAATACTGCAGCACCAGCATTGTTGGCTGCCGTTGTTGGAACAAATGAAAAGGGAAAGTCTTTGTGTATCGACTTTACCAGACTAGAAATGACCACCGAGCGGCCTCTTTCACTTAACTGTCTCACTTTGTGATTCACAGTGAGAAGCAGATTAAAGGTTTTAACCACAGTCATCTTCATTCCTTTAGTGTCTTCAGATAAACCTGTAGAGGTGCTGTTCATCAAAGGCTCTGAACAGACGACAAACAGTCGAGGAGGTTGAATGATTAACTGTTGTTTTGCACATGTGTGAGGCTGTTGCTCGTGCATATTGTGCCACTTGTATAATTCATGCAGCTGTTTGCTTAAACCATAATGACATATACCAGCTGTTTACTTATGAATTAAACATGGCCCAGGTCCTGAGAAAAACACAACGCAGCACAATTGCCCCATGATTTGTGTGATTGTGTATTTTTGTAAATTCTGTGTTTTGGTGATATACGGTGTGTGTGTTATTGTGGTAGTCTCTCCCGCTTGCGTGTCCCTTCCGAAGCAGATTCCTGTCGTACTTAGAGCGACATAATAGTTGAGCTGTCAACTAAGTCCCACTATAATCTGTCAGAAATATGGCCTGATTTTAACGCCGCTTTGAAGAATTACATAATGCAATCACTGTGATCTATAATGTAGTGTCCTAACTGCTGGCTGCTGCAGATGTTTTTTAAGTAGTCTTAAAATTTTAAAGATATAAAAAAAAGGGGAAAAAAAGCTTTTATTCCCTTTCTCACATGCACAAAAATGGATATTAGTTTAGATCAGAGTGCAGCTTCGCCACTTTTTATCCACTAAAAGTTTGAAATCCTAAAGTTTCAGTATGCTTTAGCTCAGTGGCAATGCAGAAGAGTCGGGTTCAAATCCAGATGAGGCAGATTTGACATGTTGAATAATTTGTCAATTTTTTTGCGAAGGACATGGTGTAGTTTCACCAAAGACTAAAAGTTCAACATTGGTTTATTGTGGTGCTTTAGCTCTCTCTGTCTCTGCCTGTGATGCAGGACACTTTTGAGGCAATCTGGGTTCAAATCCAGGTGTGGCAGTCTTGACACTTAGGATGTTTTTTTAAGCCCAGTTGAGGCTAAAAATCCCCTCTATTGAAGTGTGTGACCGTAAAGGAGTGACCTTTTCACTCATTTAACCTGCTATATCTCTGTGTTCTTTAGGATGGTGGGTTGCACTCCTTTCCTGGTGGTCTCCTACTTCTACCTCTGGTTTGTTCCTCCTTTCGCCAGTGGCCGGTTCATCTGGTACCTGGGCTTTTACTGCCTCTACCAAACCCTCATCACAGTAAGTGAAAAGGTGGTAACAAGCATGTGTCACCAGACTCTACTACTACTACGACTGCAGGTTAGAATTAGAGAAATCTAAATGTGTGCATCAAAAGGCTCCAGTCCTAACGAGAGATAAAAGCTGCAGTTAAAGCAGCCCATAGTAAACAGAGGATGCTGCAAAACAAAGAGATAAAACAGAACCCATATGGGATGAGATAATGTTAACGTGACGGTAATTGTGTTTGGTGATGATTCTGTGCTAGCCTCAGACAGCTCCTGGTGGGATTTACACCTTGATTTGTGAGCATGGCAGCAGATTAGAGCTCAGGGCTTTGACCACAAAAGGGAAGTGTACTTATTTAGGTTGCCTTTTGTTGTTTTGGCCCAGACCATTCATCTCTCAGCTCTGGAGTAACCCGTATAACATGCTACAGAGCGTGTAGACCGCTGCAGCCACACTGTGGCCGGCTGCAATGGCATGTCATTCTAACTACTTGATAAGTATATAGCTGCCCCTGCCAGGAACCACTAGCTGGGTAAATACTGGTTACCACTTTTAGCCTCCATCATTGTCTTTGGGTATGTGTTTGTGCCAAACCTGCTGGGAAATCCAGCTGCTATCACTCAGAGGGTGAGAGTCTGTAAACAGAGGTGAGGGCGCGATAGAGTGTCGGTTTATGCAATCAGGCTATAATGACTTTCCATCAGATTAATCAGTTCTCACCTGCACTCCACAGACGATGATAGAAATGCACGCTTTTATTTATGTTTGCGTCAGCCAGAGACCTCAGAAATGACATGCTGAGTAGAAGCAGTGGCTGAAAGAAAAAAAAAATCCCATTTCACGGATGCGTTTATTTTCATCATGGCTAAGCTTGCTTGTTTGGCCACAGTGCTGACTGAGCCCTTGTGTAAATTACAAAGTGAAGCAGAACTTGGGTTTCCTCTCCTATTCTCTGGAAAAGGTGGTGAGGAAGGAGAAAACAGATCTGAGGTTCACCGGCAACTGGAAACTTAAAGGACTGCTTTTGATATATATATATATACAGTATATGTACAGTGTGTCATATACTTCTAGCTGTCCCATGTAGATAAAAGACATCTAAAGATATCTGGGGTGTTCCTGCATGGCTTAGACTGTGACTGTAACACAGTTGTGTTGTAAAGACGTGATTATTGACCAGCTAACCTTTAACTAGTTGTTCTTTAAAAAAAAATCAAAATAGTTTATTGCCCCAAGTACTGTTTAATTGTTCTGAAATTTATTTACTTAGATATTTATATTAGATATATGAAACTTTTTTCTAGTTTGTAAGAAGGGATGCCTGATATTAGAATAATTGTGTAATATCTGGAAGACTTGTTATCAGTTTTTACTCCGGTAATGAAAACCCGATAACGCAAGCCTGGGTTTGCCCAATGACGTGTGCCCTAAAAATAGCTGATGTCGAATTGGAAATTTGGTGTTTGGACAAAAGGCAAAAGTTAATATTGTTTTTTTTTAATAATATATTTTTTAAATTATTTTTCTATTATTAATCACATTCAAATCATTATCATTTTGATTAGTAATGGTATTATTATTTGCGTATAAAAAATAGTTAACTTGAATAAATCTAATGTTTTGTTTTTTTTTTCAATTTCTTCTAATCTACTCTAGTGTTTCCACGTGCCTTATTCCGCTCTCACCATGTTCCTGAGTACAGACCAGAAAGAACGGGACTCGGCCACCGCCTATCGTGAGGACACTTTGATATGACACATTTGATGACAATTGATTGTTGGTTTAAAGCTGAAGTGTGAGTTAATTAACTGAAGCCCGGATCATTAATCACTTGATTACAGGAATGACCATGGAGATGCTGGGAACACTGGTGGGAGCCGCCATCCAGGGCCAGATTGTGGCCAGCGCTCACACTCTGAAGCACTGTCCAACTCACAACACGTCCGCAGGTCACCTTGGCAACAGCAGCGGGGCTGAGCTGGTCCAAAGGCTGGTGCACTCCCAGGAATACCTGTCACACGCTGTGAGTGTCACGGTGCCAAGTCGGACCAGGTGTGCTTTAAGTAGGCCACCGAGTCTTTACGGTCATCAGCGTTCTCTTTTCAATTATCCTCTGTGTGTGTATCCATAAAGGAGTTGAACTTTGGTAAAATATCTGACTGAAAAGAAGGATTGTTCTAAAACTGAACATTTCCCTTAGCGGATACTGCTTTTGACATCCAAAAAGGCTCCAGGTTTTAGCCCGTGTTTGATATCTGAACCCAACATCCTGACTTGGCAAGAGCACAAAGCGGGGGTGTCCACCCTCAAATCATTACATTGAGGGGTCTATACAGTCTGTAAGTCATTAGGTCTATTTCTATTTCACCCAGAACATTTGAACATGTCACACTGTTGTTGACAATATCCTTTAAATGGAGCTACAGTTGAACAGCCAGAAACTTCAGTTTGTCCAGCTACAAATACAGATAACTGTCAGTGGGAGTTTATGTGAATTTCTATCAGGATGAAACAAGCCCAGAGTCAAGATTGCCTACCAGTGGATTTTGGTTGTGCCGCAGCTATTTGAGTTTTGGGTGAACCCTATCACGACAACCCGCTCACCAAGCTAAGTCCTCTGCAGCCTGCCGCTAAATTCCGCAGTGGTCACTGGTGAGGTTGGCACACCGTCTGCGTCTGCCCTCAGAAACAGGGAGTGTTTGATGTGCATAAATAATAATGAGCTGCTGGGCCGGGCCACACGGAAAACTAGCAAACAAACAGAGGTTGTTTAAGGCAGAGCTGTTCCTGTCAAATACGACATTAAGGCTATATTTTGGGACCAAGCTCTGCCTGAGGTTTCTTCCTGTTTATACTTGTGTTTGCGCAGTGTTTCTGATGTGCGAGTTTAAACTGCTGTGGAGGGAGAAACTACACCAGGCCAAATAATTAGCCATTCATGGATGAGTCTTGAAATAGGACTAAATCGACTGTACTGAAGTGTTTAAATAAATACTGACACTGGACGTGTTTTCACATCACCTGTCTATGCGTTTGTTAATGAGCATTACAGGGAAAATACTTAGGGAAAGACCTTTACAGATCTCTGCTGTGACGGTTCTATTGACTGCCTGTCTGTTTTCTTTTTGTTTGTTTTTTTTTTTGTCAGAAAGAGGTATACATGATCGCTGCCGGTGTCATTGGAGGAGTCTTCGTCATCTGCACAGTAGTAATGTTCATTGGAGTCCGAGAGAGAGAAGGTGAGGCTTAAATACATAATCAGCCATATAAACTGAACATACTTTATACGGTATATAGCAGTGTTAATAATAATTTTATAATTTTTTTTTTATTTTAAACTCTAAAAGATAAATCTTTAACAGACTCACTTTACATGTATTGTGTATTTTGACATATTTAAAATGATCAACGATTAATGGGATAATACAATACAATATAATACAATATTTATATTTATATTATAACGCTTGCAGTATGTTTTATTAGGATTCTTGTTTGTTTGAACAATGCACATAAATGCATCTCTGCTGTTGGAACTCACTCTCTGATTCTTACTACACCATAAATGACAGCTCTCTGTGGGATACTCAGCATCCACTGCAATGCAGAGGCAGTTCCAGGATTGCCAGGGAGCCTCTCCATCGCCCCTCTCTTTTACTGCATGTTACCTGATATGCCGTCCACACTCTCACGCCACGTGTAAACCGTTTCAGATCCATACGGCCCCCGGACGGAGAAGCAGATCCCCTTCTATCAGGGCTTCCTCCTGGTGATGAGACACGGGCCCTACCTAACTCTAACAGGGTCGTTCCTCTTCATCTCCGTTGCCATTCAGGTAAATGCTGATGTGTTGAGTTAGCGCTTCTCAGACATGACGGACAACTTTACAGTAAATGGTGTCAGCCTTGAATCCTGGCAATAGAGGGGAAATGCTGCCGTTCAATGTTGATTTAATCAATGCAGATGTGCACTTCCTGGCTGACTTCAGTCTTCAGTGTGTTTGTCTGTCACATGATGGACAGATGACTGTTTCTGTACAGTATAAGCCCCTCTCTTGTCAGAGGAGGTGTCGGTTGCCATTACGTTAACATGGAATAAATCACTGCAGAACACACATCAGCAGCTCTTCCAGTCACTCCATCAGGCCCTCAGCACAGAGAGCTGAGTCAGCAGGAGCAGGAGCAGGGGCAGGAGCGTGCATCTGAATGTTTTGATCTCTGATCTTTGCAGCTGCTGCAGGGCAACTTCGTCCTCTTCTGCAACTATGCTGCCGACTTAAGGGACCACTTCCAGAATATTGTGCTGACCATTCTGGTGAGTTCTTCAACATAAACCCAGACAGTACTTCACTGCGTCTGCAGTACATGTCTTCATGTTCTTTTTTTTCTTTTTTTAACTTTGTATTTCATGTGGATCACACAGTCTTTTTCTTGTTCGTCCAGGTTTCTGCAGTAATAAGCATTCCACTGTGGCAATGGTTCCTGCAGAGGTTTGGGAAGAAGACAGCAACTTTTTGTGGCGTCTCTGTAAGTGCTGGGCGTTATCATGGTCTTTGGTGCCATCTTGTGTTAAAAACTATAAACAACCCCAGAAAACATGAGTGTTTCTGTCTGTCTGTGCACAGTGGATCATGCCCTTCGCCTTGTTGCTGGTCTTTGTCCCTAATGTGGTGGTGGGCTACGTTGTTGCTGTCTCCTCTGGACTGAGTGTGGCTGCATCACTCCTGCTGCCATGGTAAGACTAAACACTTTGACTAAAGACTGAAGATCACATTTAAGAATTGGATAGACAACAGTACATACAAATTGAAAATTTCAAAAGAAAATTCAATCAAAAAAAACTTGAAAATTCAAAGGAACTCAACATCTGTTTTGTTTTGTGGTAAATTTGAATTTTTAAATTATGTCTTATAAATATAGTTTAAGTAACAGGTTTTACTTTTTAAATAATGTAACAACTTTACTCGAAATAGCTATTTTCTATTTTCCAGACTGCAGCAATTTCTTTGGCCACAGACAAAACAATTTGCGCTAAACCAGACTTATTGTCTCGTTTCTCCGAGAGCTTCAATATTCCTATTACAGTTCATGTGATTTCTGCACACTCAGCAAAGTCAGTGCTATATTTATTACTGGTAGTTAAATGTAAGTCAGAGCCCAACCAGCTTGTGGAGGACACCCTGGACGTCTACAGGAAACTCCCTGTATCTTTACGATAAAGTACATGATGTCATCAGTCCATGCCGGGTTTTTGAGAACTCCAAATCCAATTAATCTTCCATGTTTGCTGTGTCTCCAGTCTGAGTGTGTCTTTACATGTGATTTATGGACTTGTTATTCTGTCAATGCACTGGCCATTAGAGATGACCTAATGTCCAATGAGCCCCAGGTTACGCCATGGACATAATGTAAAATGAGGATGAGAAATATATAGATGCCGCATATGTACGCAAAGTGTAAATGATTTGTACGATAACAGAGTGAATTTATTCACAGAGGTAAAAAAAAAGAAGTCTGCTCTCAATCCTTGACTCATCTTTTACAACCGTCTGGAAACCCCCTAATTACTGGGCTTCGACCACGGGACATGTTTATCTTGGAGGGGCTGATTGTTTATCCAGTCTGTGGCCTGAACCTTCTGGTATTACCCACTGCTTATTATCTAATCATATTATTAGCTCTGTACTTTTAGCCGGCTAGTTTTTAACCGAGCGCTGGTGTAGGCCTGGCATCATCCACTGCCACCCGGAGGCAATAACTTAAAATACAAATGTCTAAGAGTCAAGTGGATCAAATCTGGACCAGAAAAACAAATATATATATTTTAATCAGTCTTTTTGGTGTGTGTGTGTCTGTGTGTGACCCAGGTCTATGCTCCCAGATGTGGTGGACGACTTCAGACTGGCCAACCCGTACTCCAAAGGCCATGAAGCCATCTTCTACTCATTATATGCCTTTTTCACCAAGTTTGCTACAGGCATCTCCCAGGGAATGTCCACTCTCTGTCTGGAGTGAGTTAACATCAGTGTCGGACATTCGTCCACTCCACGATGCATCCAAAAAAATGCATTAAGTTCAGACGTGGTGAATAATTTACCAGAAGGACGGTGTCGTGTTTGCTCCGTCAGGCTGGATGTTGATTTCCTGTAACTGTTCATGTGTAAAAATAGTCTCTCTGTGTGTTTCTGTGTTTAGGTTTGCAGGATATGACACCGGTGCTTGTAAGCAGCCCACTGCTGTAGTTTACACCCTGAAGCTTCTGATTGGGGCAGCTCCAGTGGCCTTCATTATAACAGGACTAATGATCCTGGTCCTCTATCCCATCAGTGAAGACGTCAGACTTAGGAATAAACTCTGCCTGGAGGAGCTGCGGTGAGTAGAAGCCCATTTGTTTCAGTGTTTTTTCTAGAAAAATATCTGGTTCAATATCTAGCTTAATTATATTGGTGATTATTACAGTACCAATACACACATTCTTTTCTCCTACAGTAAACAAAGCATCGGCTCCAGAACGATGGAAGATTTAAATAATGTGTGACTCAGCACCTGATCGGAGGGAATCTTAAATTAAATGCCACGTGTTCCAGTAACGTTGCTGGAAGTTTGTTAATTAGTGTATATTACACTGGTAAAAAAAAATATATATATATATATATTTTACGATAAACATTCTTTGTTTAATTTTCACTTGTACTGGATGGTTTTCTTGGATACATGTATACATAAGATGAACTAATTTATATAAATGAATGTGGATCATTGTTTGCTGTGTTTATAGCTGCAACACTGCTATTTATTTATGATACATAACATTACAGAGTTAAAAAAATAAAGGTCTTGTGGGGAAATCTGTGGTGTTTTTCTGTTGTACAATACAGTATCACAGTACTTTAGAGCGGGTGTCGTTGGGACAATTTTGCATTTCGCTACACCTAGTGGCCATGTTCAGTCAAACTTTTTGACAGAATCCATATTGGTTTGCTAAGTGTATCCTTATATACTGTTTCACAATCTTTACACAACAAATATTTTTGAGTAAAATTATTTTTAAAGCATAATTTAAACTTTTATGTCACGTGTGACAAATAAAATCACACACAACCTCAGCCCTGAATTCTGAATGTGCCATCCCAGTCTTAGGCTTTAAAGACATTACTGGAGTTTATTAAAAAAAAACATGGCTCATAACTTAACAATGGGTCAAGCGTTTGTAGACAAAAATAAAAAATCAGTCCAGAAAGACTATATATATTCAGACTTCTGCGTTCGTGCTGGAGTTTTCGCCAGGGCTGGAACTGCACTGGCGTGGGTTCTCTGGACTCCCCGGAGTTCGCAGGTGGGTTTTCCTTTTGCCGTTTCTCACGGTGAGCTCTTCCTTAGACCTGAATGTCAGAGGCACGAAACCATCTGCGTCTGCTACGAGCACAATCCACAATGGTCCTGCAAAATGGATATGACATAATTAGACCCTGCACATCAGTGGTTTTCAAAGTGGTTTCAAGGCTTAACTATTCTGAAAATCATTTCATTAAGTCCACGTTGTTTTAGGTGACAATTTCTGTTGATTGTACAAACAAGAAGTCTTTTTTTAGCCAGCAGCAGCAAAACACAACACACATCAACTGGCCATAAGCTGCTTTTGTTTTAAACCAGCTAATCTGATCTAGTCTTTTAATCTCTTCCAATAATAGGTGACACGCTACCAAAACAGGACACTGCAGGGAAATGAAAATGACTTCATTCAGTTTGATTTATTATATATAAAAAACCCAAATTATCTATGATGAAGAAAAACGGAAAGTTTGTGGAATTATCAAATAATTAATCTGACAACTTCCAGGGAAGCTCAGAAGGGAACACTGCTATTCCAACTGTGCTAAGAAAAAATCCCCTCCACTGAGTAGAGAACAGAACAGCACCTACCGTACAACATCTCCACTATAGTGAGGTTGAAAAGGTCCTGCAGGACACGGAGACAGAGCTTCCCCTCGCATAGGAGAACGGGCCGTCGCTCGTCGATGAAAACATTCTCTGACAGCTGCCTCTGCAGGTAGACAGGATAGAGATAAAAAAACTGATATAATAATTTGGTTGTTGTCTTTGGTCCAATTTTAATAAATGTGCACAAACCCTACATTTTTTGTATTACTGTTTGTCTACATAAGACCTTTTTAGTTTACAAGATTGTTCAGTGGAACAGTTCTCCAGTAAACAAATGTTGTGAGTGAAACTGTACCTGACACGTGATGTTGACGTACGGGGGCTCAGTGGCACTGGGGTACATGCACGACGTCTTCCTGCCATTCTGTGTGTAATCTCTGATTTCCGTCAGGCACTGCTGCACTTCTGCAAAACGGCTAAAAAGCCTCTCCATGTTGTGGACCAGTCCCTCCAGTTTGTGCTCCCTGGCCAGACTTGACGCTGGAGGCAGCGTCTGCTCGGTGTGGACCCTGTCAGGAGGCTCAAGTCGAGGGGAGCTGCACCTGCTGGAGTCTCGGCTCACCTGGTTGGACACCGTCAGGCTGGCCATGCGGTTGATGTGGTCCATGTCGTAGTTTTCCACCGTGGTCGTGGAGGAGGCGCTGGACGGTGCTCTCTCAGAGAAATCCACAGGGCTGGGGACGGGGCTGCGGTCTCCGCTCCTCACCTCCTCCACCAGCCTCCGCCTGTTCCCTGGCGACCGCTCCACTCCTCTGTCAGGCAACACTAAGTCCTTTATCCCTGTGCGCTCCTTGTCATCTTTAGCCAGAATCTCAGAGTGGCCCCTAATTCCTGTGTAGGAACTGAAACTAGATTCCTGGTTGGGAGTGGCGGTTGATGGTGTGACAGGAGTCTCTCCATTGAGCGTCAGATCTTTTATCGTTAGACGAAG